AGATTCGTAAAAGTTTATAATTAATGGGAACGCAAAGTTGAAAATGGTAAAACAGCTCGTGCAATATTGCATCAGACTAAACAATTAGAATCATATCCATGATACCAAATTTACAGTTTAGAAAAAAGAGCGTTCATACCCTCCCCCCTGCATAGCAACAAAAATTGCCCCCTATTTTAAAAGTCGCTAGTTAAGAGTTCGACCCCCTCACTTACCAAAGGGCCCCCTCTGTGGTACTATTTATGATATTCATTTTCAGCCGGCGAACCCTAAAGTTTTCTAAAGGCGCCTTTGTCGCCAATATATTCTTTTTTTGAAGAGGAGAGCGCGCCAAGAAAACGCAATTTTTTGGTCAAAGTTTCCAAAAAGTGCCCATAAACAGACTTTTCGACCTGTTTCTCCAAAAGTTCGCCTGCGGCGCACATTTTTTTCTCAATTTTGTGTCTTTACAGTATTCTAGGGCTGTCCGAAAAATAATTTGCTCCACCAAAAAATGTCGACGAATTTTTCGAAAAGTTTTTGAAAATCCACCCCCGCCCCTCAAAAAAATTCTAGATCTTCCCCTGGCTGGTATCATTAGAAACCTTGTTTGATTCCGCTACATTTAGTCCCTCTACGTTGGGCCATAACTTAGTAGGGGCGGGCTTTAATGGGACAGACCCCCAGTTAATTTCACCACGAAATTTTTTTGCTACTTGTAATATTGGGCTCTTTTTCCTTTCCCCCAGCCTGCAGTTTTTCGCTCACATTTTCCGATTGTTACAAAAATTGGCATGCGAGTTGACTAGGTCATAGCAAGCATATCTGGTTTTCATAATAAACCTTGTAAAACGACTGCTCGTTACACCATAAATATGTTGCTTTTAAGAGGTGAGGGAGGAGAGGGGGAGAAAAAAGAGCCCAGAATTGGCTTTATGGTAACTATTCCGAACTAGAAAGTTACGGACTATTAATGCTAGAGATAAATGTTTCTCATTGCAAATTTTGATTCAAGAAAACTGTTCTGAAAGATGTATTTACCCTGATTTTCCAAAAATTCAGTGCTGCTTAAATTTTTCTTACAATGCTGTTTTAATTTTTTGGTCCGCATCATGGTGACCAAAATAGGTATATTTTGAGATAAAAAAAATTGACAAGTTTTTTTTGTGAAACAAGATTTGTTTCTTCTATTAATCTTCTCATCTTTATGACACCCTTATGAGGAAATCAAGCCTTTCAATTGTAGATAAGAATAGAAAATGATTGATTTAATTTCGTTTTGACACCAAAAGGACATTTTTGGGCTAAAGTTTTGAAATCTTAAATCATTAATGAAGGTGAACGTATCATAACTATTGATGTTTTGGCGTTCATTGAGCTGCCTTGAATAATCAAAAAGAAAGGACGACCGACGAGTCTTGTTATCGCTCATTCCGTCCCAAGGAAAGGTCCGAATAACCTTTTAGAACAGAAGCGATAGCAATAAACAAAGCTTTGCGCTCATGCTAGCATGCCTTTTGTCCCTACTATTTTAGAAAAAAAATATGACGGAATATTTTTTTCTCCAGACAAATTTTAAAATAACAATTTCTGACAACTTCTCTAAATATCATTTGGAAAGGTCAGGGGCGGATTTAGGGGGCGGGGGGGGGGGGGGGGGGGCTGGGCGGACGCCCCCCCCCTCAGGGATTCGACCCCCTGCAGACCCAAAGGGTCCCCCCTTTGATACTTTTTCAGAAATCCATTTTTGGCCGACCGACCCTAAAATTTTTCTAAAGGCGCCTTTGGCGCCAATATATACTAACTTTGAGGGGGAGCGCGATTTTTTTTGTCAAAATTTTTCAAAAAGTGCCCAAAAACGGCTTTTTTTGACTGTTTTTTCAGAAATTTGCCTGCGGCGCAGAAAATTTAGCCAAAATGGGGGCAAAAAAGTGCTTTGGGAGAGCTCCAAAAATCAATTTATTCGACCTAAAAAAAAAAAAAAATTCGAATTTTTTTTGAAAATCCGCCCCCCCCCTCGAGAAAATCCTAGATCCGCCCCTGGGAAAGGTGTTGTTTTTCTGAGCTCACAGTTAAAATGATTTTTCAATTGTGGCCAATTTTTGCACGGCTACAGCAGTTTAAACATGAACAATTGGGACAATTGGAACAAGTGGGACAATTGACGCGAGATATAATTTCCGTACTATTAACATTACGTAACGTGTGGGAAATAATTCTCAAAAAATATTTCAAAGAAAGTGTGGATGATTTTTGGAGTATTCATCATTATTTTAAATTAAACTATTCCATTGAACTTAAAATGCTGTCGGAACATCTAGCCTTGTTATTTTTAAATCTTGATTTAAAATGCAGGTTCAATTACTTTCACAAGCTTCTGGGCTTCTTTCAACATTTTGTTTTCCAATTGAAAAATTTTACAAAAAATTTTTCGCACAAACTAAAGCATATAGCTTCTACAAGTCGAAGTACAAAACTAAGCATAGAGCGACAAGTAACAAATCAATGAAACCAAATATTTTGCCTCAACGCAATTTGACAAGATTTTCAAGCCAAATTCAATCGCCTCCTATTCGTTAAAGCACAGGTAGCAAAACCCCATGCCCCATAATTTACGTACAACTATCGTAGGTGAAATATCTCTCAAAGTTCAGCTCGAGGCTTTCATATATTTCAGATAAAAGAAATTCTGCAAAAAGTAAGCAAAATGTCTCAGTAGAAGTATCACTTAACGTAACATACTAAAATTAAAAGTTTCGACATTGTTCAGAGTTTTAAAAAATATATAAAATTTATCTGTCCGCATATATATTATATATATGTGTCGCTGTTTCGGGTCTTTCCCATATAAGCAGCACCCATTAAGCTATGGCTGAAATACGAGAGGTCACCTTGCAAATTTTAGCGCCCGTGAGATTTGAACTAGCAATCATATGGTTCCTGGGCAAAAACACTACAATGCGAGATATTAAAATCCTGAGTCAAATAAAATTTATAACATCTGTGATCAATCCGGCTCAAAATTTGTTCGAGGTTGAATTGAGTCAAGCGTCGTAGGTTTATTCACACTATACTAAACGCTAGTTACACAATTTATAACATCTATAACATATATAATATTATTTAATCTATAATATCTATAACATCTTTATAACATTTATAATTTTGTCCCCTAGATAACCTATTGGAGGAAGATAAAAAATTGTATTTCAGTTTCAAATTCTTCATTTTTCTCTACAAAACAATTTATCAAAAATTATTCCATAGATTTATAGTGAGCACTCGCAATAAGTCTTCGCTCTGAAACAAGCAGTCTCTTTATATAATTTGTTTGATTTTTTTTTCTATGTTAAGTTAACTAACTGATTTATTTTCACTATACAAACTCTCAGTATTCTTTAAAATGGATACTTTTTTAATTTTATCTGACATTCGGGTTTGAGTTTTTTGTAACGATGAGAGAAGAGCTTGAGAAAACACGAAAAAGACAAAATGTTAAGCAAGCACATCTTTAAAATAGAACTCTTCACTCAAATTGAAAAGATAAGAAAACTAACAGTTTGATTTCACTCAAAATGACAAAATGGCGTGATAAAATTTTTTCCGTAGTTTTTATCAATTTTTTTACCCCAATGAAGATATCGCTTCATTGAAATCGATTGTAGAAAAAATTTTTACCTCCAATCTTTTTTGCATAGTTATGGAAGTTTGAAAATTGGCAGCTTGACCCTAATGTGGATTAAATTATGGGCGCTTAGAAGATTTTATTCATAATTCTGAAAGCGTAACATGAATTGTTTATGCGTGGAAAATTATTTGGCACAACACAATAGTTTCAAAATTGAATTGAGGGTAACTAATTGGTCGCTTTAAATTATATCTCGCAAAACTTCACAATTGATCATTGATATTGAAATATATAGTTTTTCAATATTTTCTTTTCCCAAAAAAACTATCCGATATGGGTTAAGGGGAAGTCGGAACATTCAAGCTTTGCTCTGTATACGAACAGTCCTACTCATGTGAAGAAATAATGTTCCAATTTAATCGATCTAATTTTTAAGTAACTTTTTGTAATGAAACCAAAAAAGTCAATAAAGGTTAAGTTTTGGGTAGATAAATTTGATCTGGTCTGCCAGTTTGGATCTCTTTCTTAATTAACCATCCCCCTTTCAAGACGGCGATTGTTGTTCGGTAGATTAGACTAGTCAAATTTTGCAGCGATCACAATGCAGCAAAAATCAAGTTACAACAAGGATAGCCGGTTACTGCACAAATAGCACTGAATTTTCCGACCATAGTTTAAAATAAATACAATTTTTTCCAATATGTGTCGCTTTTTCATCGTAGTGTGCTAAGTATTTGAAAAAAAATAGAAAATAGGCATGTTTGAAATAGTAAAATAGCCCAATTGGAGAACAACTTTTTCTAGAAAATTGACAAAAAAAGAAAAAAAAATGTTAAACTAAATTAAAAAAAAATTTAAATTTTTTTTTCAATTTTAATTTGCAGAAGGTTTTTGAAATTTGAAGTTTTTGAATCGTAAATTGGCGCTAGAAACTCCAAAACTACTTTAATCATGTAAAACTAAGTTTTCACGGCTTAAATTAAGCGTGAGTAAGCTATTGTAAGCCTGCATGCTCACCTTATTAGCTTGAAATTAGACTAAAAATCAAAAATGTTAAACCTGTTTTTCTCAATACGGGGATAATTTTTGAGAAATTTTTAAATTTCGTTTTAATCACCGTTGAAAGAGCTTTGATATGATATATCACTCGACTCAATCTGATGATTTTTTTGTAGTACCTGATTATGCGTGAAAAAAAGCAGAAAAATCACAAACAAAAATCACACCCGAATACAAAATTGCTCCACATTTTTCAAATTGCCGGAACAATTAGAAAGCTCGAGTGCTAATTTACTGGTTTAGTTTATAGGTGTGGCAATTATTTAGAGGATACTAAGGGTGCGGCGGTGATTAAGTAGATCCGCCAGTTATAAGTTCTTTTTTTAGATCTGACCTGGTTTGCCTGGAACTTGAACTTGTTGGTCTCTGACTTGTCCAGCTGCACTAGTTTGCTACTCCTCCTGAACCCGTGCAGTCTGATGTAGAAACGGTATCCGGAGTTGAGACCCATTATGGCCTCCGTGTACACCACAACTATCCACTTCCTACAACCCTAAAGCGAATGGACATGATTCGGAATAATTATTAATAATAACGTGGTTTCTGTGAATTGCAGAGGAGCTATCGACAGTCCTTAACAGTCCTGTCGAGGATAGTCGATTTGTATTATGTCTCCACATTCCAGACTGTGCTATTTTGTTGAGCGAATAGTACGAGGCCAAACTGTGCACTGGATAGGCGCACAATTTTGTGTCTGTATGTTCCTGGATTCCGCTGCGGAATACGGCTGCGGATTCCGCAATTTCGCTTATTTTTAGAGCGATTATGAGCGGTACAATATTTTAAGTATTTGTTTGTGGAAACCAAAACAGCAAAGAAGATCAAAGAAAAGAAGAAATGTTGCGGATTCCGCGACAAATCTGATTTTAGCCTGTTGCGGAATCCGCTTACAATGCACAGAATGCACAGTTTGGCCTCGTAACGAAGCTCTTGTTTTGCGACTCAAGGCCTAGAACTTTCACTTTGTACCATTAATGCAGCCGAAATTGGCCAGGCTGTGTTAAACATGAAGCTAGAGGTCAAGTGAGAGCTTGTCATCACACACTATCATTGCCATGGCATGTGACGAGCGAATACACGATGTGACGATTTGAGATAGAAAGCCTAACCTCTACGCTACGTGCTTAAATATTTCCTCAAAATTAAATAAAAAGTAGTAAGCACTTCTCTAATAACTTATTCTACTTGAAATAACTAAAACGCATTGACATTTTTTGAAGATTTTTCACAACTTCTGGTGGAAAATTAGAAAAGCTTCTCAATAAAATAACGTTATTAAAAAATTTCATGTCAAGAAAAAGGTTCAAGTTGTCATTCTAAAATATTTGTTCGAAGCAGACTTTGCATATCATTGCGAGGCCAGGCCAAGCTGTGTATATTTTAGAAGCACAGAACTTTTTGAATATTTTAGAAGCTGTGTATATTTTAGAAGCACAGAGCTAGTGGAACACGGAGACAAGTCTTTAAATACGTAAAAGGGCAAAATTGAGGGATCCACTGACTTTGAATTTCCACTGCCCTTGGATTTAAAAAGCAAATGCGTAGTAATTTTAAGTTGTCGGCACCTGAAGTGTGTTTTTTTGAGGATTGAAGAAGAAAACCAGACCTGTCGCGGACTTCAATTAATCGCTTTTTTTGCGGAGTCCTTTAGCGGCGATTCCACAATTTGCAGAACTAACACAAATTAGCCTCTTATTGCATAGTTGATCCACGAAAAATATATGTGAATAATCCATTTTCATGAAAAAAGATCAAATTTACAGCCTAGTCAATTGTTCAAATCGAACCACTGTAGTTTGTCTTATCAAGTTTCTCTTATGGGTTTCGTGGATTTTAAATTGCTTTAATGGTTTTTCGATAACTTTCATATATATTTTGCTGCCTGTCCACCTACAGCAAAGAGGTTCTGCTCTGTTCCAGACGCCATAGCATCAACAGCCACCATCATCTTCGCCGCTTGACTGGCCATGCGGGTCAAATCCCCCTTAGTCATCCCAGCACCCCTCATTTGTCGCTCCATCGGGGGAGGTGGCCCTGCAGTTTTCCCACGTTTATATGAACTCCGCTTTCCTTGAACTTGACCTTGATTCTGGCTTTGTGACCTTGAGATTGTACTGGTTGTACTCGCAGTGCTTTTTTTTCTGTGCAAATAAATGAAGACTAAAAACGACAGCCATACGAGCTTTGAAAAAAGTTCAGATTCTTGAGACATTTTTCTCTCTCTTTGGAAGGTTTCACATTGAATTTTTTTAAAACCCCGTGAAAATTATGATGATCCAGCCAGAAAGCATTTTAGGTTTCTGAGCCAGTGAGAAAAATAAGCAAAAATGATCTGAATTTTTTTTAAATGCGATAATTGATTTCCTAAAAAAAACTGAGGTCAGATGAAATTTATATCTAACAAAAACGAGATAACATCCTGTGAACAATCCGATCCATAGAAATGATACCCAGAAAAAAATTCCAAGAATTAAATAAGAGGGTAGACGGATACGAAATTTAATTCCTAGTAGTGAATCCTCCCCCCTGTGCATTTGTAGGGAGGGAGGAGGGGAGGGGGGTTGTGGGTCAGCGGTTGATAGTCCATACAAAAACTTCTTCAAACCTGCCGTTTTGGCTGTCTCGTCTGGTCAGTGCCAGCATCTTAGCCGATCTCCTGGAAGCACTCGTCGACCTCTGTCTTCTTCCTCCCCCGGCCCCTAAAAACAATATTGGAGGATTTAATAATTATCATTTTTTTAGTGAGGTTAATGTCTTTTGCACACATTCATAGTTCTTAACAAAAACATATTAATTTGAAAGAAAAAATTCTCGTTTTATTATTTTCAAGGTTTTGCCAATTGTTCTACGCAGAGGAGAATTGGATGGAAAATTTTTGCAAAATCTTGCCCAACATTTTTTTACTTTTTAGAGAGACTTTTAGTTCCGACTTTCGAAGAAAGTGATAAAGCACTTGAGCTCGGGGTGGTTATCGATCTATTTTTGAAAAAAAATTGGAATATTTATGCTTGAGCTGTTTTTTAATTTTGTCAGTTTTTGACTTTTTAACTACACGTTTTGACAGAAATTTTCATTCCATCGGAAAGGCATAGTTGTCGGTAACGCAAATGTAAAAAATGACACCTGTAATCATTTGTCGCACAAAATGAGGCTTTAATTATAGCTACTTTAACCAATTTCAGAATGGAGCAGTAATAAACATGAAAAATATAAACGTAATTATATAAAATGATTTTTTCTTAATTTGAGATTTTTTCAACCAATTTGGAACAATTTCTAAGACGAATTAAATCTCCGCTGACGAGTTAATAGCGCGAAATACTTCACGCGTTAATTGTACTAAATTCGCAAAGATTGTAATCTCTAAACCCCCATAACTTTACGGAAATTATTCACAATTGGAATATCTTTTCGACAACAATACCTTTTGATATAAATTAATTTCGTCCATGATGGCTAGTTAAAAAACCGAAATTTGTCTGAAGTAAAAAAAAACCACCCTAAGCACAAATACTCCATTACTTTTGTTACAAAAGGCAGAATTAAAACCGACGCGAGCATACATATTCCTCCGAAAGTCGAAACAGTGAGGCAAGTAACTTGGTGTTTATAATAGGATACGAATGCCTTTACATTTTCCCTCGGTAGTTTAGTTTGAAGTGTTGGGGTGAAAATGATTAAAAGAAAAAACAAGACTTCATTTATCAGGGCAAAGCCCTGAATGTTCGTTCGGACTGTCACTTAATTCAAATCGAATAGTTTTTGGAAAACCTACAAAAATTTTTGGACAATATGAAAGTGTGAAATATTGAGTCGTATGAAATTAATACGATCAATCTAATTCGCAAGACTCAATTCAATTTGTAACAATCAATTTTGAAAACCCCAGAACTTTACAAATATCTTTTTAAATTTGAACTCAGGAAGTCGATATCTTCAATAAGGTATTAAAAAATTTTGCTGAAAACTATTTTTTTGATCGATGAAAAATGACTGAATAAAAAAAGCACACCGAGGATAATTATTCGGTTTTCTTTGAAAGTCGGAACAAAAAAGTTTCAACCCAAAACAGTTCCTCTGTTTCTACCAAAAAATTTCTGATTGGCCTCAAGTGTCATTGAAAAGTTCTTCAAAGAAAATGATTTTTAAAATAATATATTTTGGCAGAATTTCAAATTCAAAAATACCGTTTGAAAAGCATAGTTGTTGTGAGCTCAAAATCTAAAAAAAAATATTTCATCTGTGATAGTTTTTCGTCCGGTTATGGGGGCTTAAATAATACCAATTTGGGTTAATGAACGCGAGTTATGTTTCACGTTATTAACGTGCAGGCGAAGAATTAGTCCGTCTCAAAAAAGTTTTAAATTGAGCTGGAGCATGTTAAAGAAAAGAAAGATTTCATTTATCAGGGCAAAGCCCTGAATGTTCGTTCGGACTGTCCCTTAATTCAAATCGAATAGTTTTTGGAAAAAGAAAATATTAAAAACCTACAATTTTTGGACAACATGAAAGTGTGAAATATTGAGTCTTATAAAATTAATACGATCAATCTAATTCGCAAGACTCAATTCAATTTGTAACAATCAATTTTGAAACCCCCAGAACTTTACAAATATCTTTTTAAATTTGAACTCAGGAAGTCGATATCTTCAATAAGGTACTAAAAATTTTGCTGAAAACTATTTTTTTGATTGATGAAAAATGACTGATTAAAAAAAGCACACCGAGCATAATTTATTGGTTTTCTTTGAATATTTTAACCCAAAACAGTTCCTCGAAAAGTCATCGAAAAATTCTTCAAAAAATTGACTTTTAAAATAATATATTTTGGCAGAGTTTCAAATTCAAAAATACCGTTTGAAAAGTATAGTTGTTGTGAGCTCAAAATCTAAAATGATATTTCATCTGTGATATTTTTTCGTCAGGTTATGGGGGCTTAAGGATTACCAATTTGGGTCAATGATCGCGAGTTATGTTTCACGTTATTAACGTGTAGGCGAAGAGTTAGTGCGTCTCAAAAAATTGTTTTAAATTGGACTGGAGCATGTTCTTTGGTCTATTTACTCCTTTGCTATATGCTAAATATAATATTTCTTCTTGACTGAGCGTGTGGGGTGATGATTTCAACAAAAAATCACTGAAAAATTCTCATTTTTTGAGTTTTCATTAATTTTTCATAGCGAACACAACTCCCAAGGCTTGAAAATGGAGTCGATAAATTCAGGGTTTTGTCATGACACAATCAGTCTTGAATGAGATTAAGATTCCAAGATAACGAGTTTCTGTAAAATCAAAAGCACCATAAAATTTTTAATTTTGCGTGCGGGCGGTTAAGCCAAAATATATACGTTTTTCCGGTACTAATTTGAGCAAAAATGTCAGAATTGAAATTCAAACTGGGATTTAAGAAACTACGGAGCCCCAAAACCTTTTCTAACACTCCCTCTCCGGCCCTTTCCCCACTACAACAGAGCTCCATTTTTTGTTACTAAGATTTGGAGAGGGGGGGTTGGAGGTCAACTGTAAGTGCATTCAGCATCGATAGCACATGTACCAGTCAGCAACTAGTCAGCAGCCCTTAGCAAGTTTACAAAGTAGAATAAATTGAAAGAAAGTGTCAGAAGCCCTACCGGCTGACTCTTCATCCTCTGTGAGTCTAAGCGCCGCCTGCTGCCACAAATCCCCCACCTCGGCCGGGTCATTGTCTCTTACTAGCGATAGGGCATCGTAGTCGAATTCCTTCCCGCTTCTGGCGGATCCAAGACTCATTATACTACTGCAGCTTTAGAAGTCTATATTGTATAGATTCTATTTTCAAGTCTATAGAGTCATCTTAGCTTTTTATTCTGTATTTTATTGCAAAAAAAAATTCCTCTTTCAGAAAGTCATTTAGAAAAAATCCCTGCCGTGTATCCAAACGGGATTATTTTTTTTCGAATAAGATATTCTGTATACAATCTATTTTCAATTCTATAGAGTAATCTTAGCTGTTTATTCTGTAATTTATTGCGAAAAAGTGTTCTTTCAGAGGGTCGTATAAAAAAATACCTACCGTGTTTCCAAACGGGATTAGTTTTTTTCTAATAAATTTTAATTTTTCATTTTTTTTCAATAAAATTGAGTATTTTTTAATCTGACTTTGGCGGTTTGGTTATGAATTTCAACCTCAAAAAAATGTGAAATATTGCGAGTTTTTTCAAAAAAATGTATGACAAGCGCACTTAAACAGGTTACTATAGACTTGTTGTAAAAACTCGAACTTGATATAAAGTAAGCAAACTCACTACTTAGTCTTGTAATATGAGTAAGTTAAATATAAAAATTTGAATCAAACTTTTTGACGGTGATTTAAGAAGAGAAAACTACAACGGCTGAATGAAAAATATATACTTTGTGTTTTTGTACAGTTTTTGCGCACAGTACTTTTTTATTTTTCAATTGTATATTCATATTTTGTATAGTTTCTAAAAGTGCTTCGTAATGATCGTTTGTACTACTCTTTTTGGTTTAATGAAAGAAAACTTAACGTTGGCGGCCAAAAGAGCACAGATGATTCAGGAGTATTTCGATAATTCTATTATTGATCAAGTCTTGTCGCTACCAGGAGCGGGAAAAGCTTTGATACTTACACTGACCAAACTGAATTCTTTGGTGTTATTTGAATTGCCGAACTAGCTAAACAAAATCATGTGCGGTCAGTTCGAGCCCGAAAATTATTTCGAAAACTGATGTCTTCTGAACGTTTTCAGTAAATAAGTTATTCGTTTAGACAAAAGAGAAATGTTGGAGTCATAAAAATTTTTACAATTTATTTTAATTCTTACAGATATTCTAGTTTTTTGTGAAGTTAGATGCAGTCTTCATGACGAGATTGTACGTGTATGTAAAATATAACCACCGAATTTGACAGTTCAACCAAAAAAAACTTGCACCGATGCAAGAACTTACACTTGTTATCTCAGTAGCTTCTTGTAGGTCGTGCTTCGGATGTTGAAAAAAAATCATCATTTAAGGAATCACAAACTGAAAAATTGGTCTAATCAGATCAGACTCCCAGTTTTGCTAATCAGACTCCCAATTAGGGAAAATGACAAAAAAACATGATTGAGAGTTTTTTCACAAACTGAACAACTGCAGATTTATTCACACAAGTGAGTTAGGACCGAGTTGGTTAACTCATAGAGTAATTTCGGATAGGGTACACCGTCTGCTCGTCACGCTATCTTATTTTCGGCCGGATAGATTCGTGCAACTTCTTAGTCTAATACCGATCCTAATCTTACTCTTATACTTATCTAGTCTCAGGTTGTTTAACTAGTCTCTGCTAGGCTCAATAGATCTAGGGTATACTGGTTTATTGCGGCTGCTGAAGTGCTCGGGAGAGTCCAACTAATTTCTAAGTTAAATTCAAATCTCTCTGGTGCTGAAATTACAAGTAACTTCAGCACTTACAAATAAGTGGGTTGTTAGTTAGATGGATCATGATTGGTTAATATTAAATACTTTACATTGGTAAAATATCTAATTTATCCAATCATAAAATGTAGTTTAGATCAGGTTCCACCCATCCGGGTTTTACAGAGTTTTTTAGAATAGTTCTTCTGCAATTCGAAGGATGGATGATGGACGTTTGTTTTTGGCGAACATCATAATTTTCTTCCGTTTCCTCTTTTGTTAGGGAAGTTCCAGGAAGCTGGAGTTAGAGACGTAAGACGTTGTGTTCTTCTTGTGACAACGACTAAGTCTTCGCAACAAACTCAAATCTGATTTCAGAATGGTTTGCTATGTCAGGTTTTTCTGTTCTGCGTGGAGAACTTCTTTTGTGTCTGATCTAATTTGGGAATGGCGTGGAGATTGTGCGTGGAGGGGATGCCTGGTTACTCGGATCTGTACGTATACTTGAACATCGAGGTGGTCATTGGTCTAGTTCAATGAAGTCCTTTTCTGCGAAGTCAAGTCGTACTCTAAATCCTTTGAGTTGTGATTGTGAGTGGCATATCGATTGTGGTTGGCCATTCTCTCTCGAGCGTAGTGGGGTCGTTTTGTCTTTAGATGTTCGTCCTTGGTGTTGTATTCTGATCTATGTATTGCATAATGTAATTTACATTTTATAAAACATTTATTAGTTTAATATTTTTTAATTATGATTTTAGTTAGTTGTTTTCACAAAAGCTTTTTGTTTTAGTTCGGTTATTTTGAAGAGTTACTCACACTTGAGTAGCTCTTATTAAAAATAGAGGTGTGGTCACAAAGCGTGGATGTAGCGCGGTGGGTTAGGCCGGCTATAGAGCATGCTCAGGACGTCCTTCCTGGTGGGTTAGGCCAGGAGTGGGAGTATGATTTCATGCGGTTTTTGTGAGGGGTCCTGTTATGTGACAACGTTTTATGTTGGGTTTGTTGTGGTTTTTCTTATGTCTTGTTGGTTGTGTCCTTTTTTCAAAAATCAAATTGTTTGTGGTATGGGTTTGTCTTTCGACTTTTTTGTGTTTTATTATTTCTTTCTTAGACTTTATAATAGTCTTCAAAAGAATAAATTATCCAGTTTTAAACTGGGTTAATCCGGTTTGGGTACCGTTGGTTTCTTTTTCTAAGTCATGCTGTTATTTTATGATTTGTGGTATTTAGTAAGCTGCGTTGGTTAGTTTTGTTTAGTATATGATTCCTTTCCAACCGGGTTAAAGGAAAGTTTGAAACATGTTATTATATGTTAGAGTTGTTGAGTGTGAAAACTTGAAACTGAAATTCATTATTTTAAACAATTCTTCGTGGGCGAGCTGTGCGAGTGTGGATAGAATTTCTGTGCGATTGAATGAAAATATCAAAAGGTTAGTACTGCATTTGCATTTATTTAATTTACTACACAGAATTTAGAAATTTACTGCTAGTCATGGGGGAATATTAAGATACAAATTTTCATTATAATTAGATTTACTGCTTGTGGGGGAAAATTTTAGAAATGAATTTACTGCATTGGTATTAAATTTATAAATTTATAAGTGTAAGAGATTAATAGAATTTTTGAAATCTGTTTGATGAAATTTACAATATTTATTTGTTTTTTCTGGTTTTTGTAGGTGATCGTCGGATGAAGGCTAAAAATCTAAAGAAAACATGGATAAAGAATGGTGAGTTTTAATATTTCAATTAGTTAGTTATATTCATTTAATTCATACTTACCTGTTAGTCGTCGGGGAAAAAACCGTGAGGGAAGATGTCGTGAATTAGTTCTGAAGTTGTTAGTAGTTTAGCTAAGATGCGGATGATATTTTTAGTCTGAAGCAGTGGCCAAAGCAATTGAAGTGCCTTAATAGTGGTTAGTTCTTCAGTGCCAACTGCAAACTCATAAGGTGTGTTTTGGATTAGATTATATAATTTGTGATTGAATTTAGTGTTGTGGATGAATTCTAAAATTGGGATTTCTATAGGTTGTACAAACTCGTGCGGGATAAGGAAGGGTCGGGATTCTTCGGCGTTGAAGGTCTTGGTGATGGGACAGAAGATGTACATTTGGGTTATGGGGTCATAATTACGAAGAATACCATGGAGGTTAGTATCTTTAATACAATATGTGAAATTTAGGAAAAATGGTGAAGTGTATTTGGAATTAATGAATTGAAAACGATGGTGTGGTTGTCTAGAAGGTGTGTGTAGATCAAAGTGATTTTGGATGAAGCGATAATAACTATATGTGTGGGTTTGTTTAGTGCGCAACATAATATCGTGTGAGCAGTGTAAATCTCTTTCGTGTGGTGCAAGAAAATGAAAGGTTAGTGAAAATATTTGGAAGCGTTCTTTAAAACTTTCGTATGCTTGTGTGTCTGTTAGTGCTTCTGAAATAATGTGATCAAACTTTCGGTCGAAGATGTTTAGTGTGAATGTATATGGTGTCTTGATGAAAAATTTCTCGGTAATTTGTGGATTAGCGAAGCGATCGTCGTCTAAGAATTGATCTTGGTTAGCTCTGATGATGTTGTGATCATAGTATTCGAGTGTATATTCGTTTGCTCTAGGTGCAGTGTGTGTTTTTAGTGATTTTTTATATCCAACGTAAGTAAATTGTCTAGCGGTTAGTGGTGTAGTGAGTCGATATAGCATGTCCGTATTTCGCTCTATATCAATGTGAGTGTTAGATAAAGGTAAGCAAAGAGGGTTAGTAAAATGATAATATGAGGTCCAAGAGAGAGTGGGCATTAAAACGTATTCATCTACAAAGTTGCGTGTTTCGTTAGTGTCGTGGGGGGTGTTTAAGGTGTATTGTGGGAATGAGGGTAAGGTGATGGCTAAAAATTCTTTTGTGTTAGTATGCTTGGGGTGGTTGATGTATTCACGGGCTGTTCCTGGTTTTGCTGGGAAAGGATGGTTGGGGAACTTTCTTTTAAAAGTGCGGTAAGCTCTATTAGTGTTGAGTGAAGATTCAGTTGATGTGGATGATGGTGCTAATGATTCATTATAATTTGAAGAGGGTGTAGGGGTAGGGGGGTTGGATGAATTTATTGTGGAGGAGATTTGGTTTATGGTTGGGGTATTAAGGTGGTAGGGTTGTTGTTGAAGGGTAATAAAATTATCTAGCTCTGGGGAGATTCGGGGGGTGTCTGGAGAATGAGATGATTGGTCAGAATGGTATGAGGAGTAGGTTGGGGTAACTTGGGAAGCATAAGAGGGTGTGGGAGTGATTGGGTCAGGGTTATTGGATAATATGGGTTGAAAAGGGGGTTGAGAAAATTTAGAAGAGTTATGAAAATTATTGGATGGGGATGGTTCTGAGTCGGCAAATTCATCGGGGGTTTCAATATTCGGGTTATTGAGTTGTGAGATGGAATATAAAACTGAGATGTGTGAATTAGTGTCGGAATTCATGCCTGATGTTACATTACTAGATGGAAAATCGGGTGGCGGAAAAGCAAAAAGTGGTATTATTGGGATTGGAGAGGTAAGATTGGTTGGGTGGGAATTTGATCGGTGTAGTGATCCAAGTTGGCGGCTCATCGTGGGCTAAAAAAATGATTATTTTGAGACTGAAAAGCGGTGGTGTGGGGTTGTTCAATAATTTGTTCATAAGTATTATCATCTTGTGACTGGTGAGTCATTATATGTTGGATGGGACTTTGTGATGTGGTGAGTCGAAAATTTGGATTATGTGTGATGGCTAAATTTCGAAAATTTCGTGGGACTAGGGATAGTGGATGGTTATTTGGTAGGGGTGGTAATTGTGGTGCCGTTGGCGTTATGTCTACATTGTTATGTTCTTCGTCGTATGTATTTTGTCGTGTTGTTATTTTTGTGTTATATTCTTTTATTTGTGCGTCTAAAAGAATTTTGTTTATAGATGTAGAAAAGATTCCAAAAAATCCTGCA